CTCAGCTACCTGCCTAGACAATATGTAGTCATTCCATTTATTCTTTCATTTGAAAATATTAATTCAACTTTTTCTAAATGCTAGGCATTATGCCTCAGGCATGGGATAAAAGATAAGTAAACAAAACAGGTATATGATATGCCTGCAAAAAGCTTAAAATATATAAGATCTACAAACTGCAATGGATTCAAACTGTAAAAACTGATAATTGTTTCATAGAGGAGGTTAAGGAAAACTTACACTGGTACACGTCATGAACCCTGCCCGCCCAGCGATGCCCACATCCGACCCCTGGTCTGAGAAGGACTATGTTATCTCACACTGCAAAAGCAACTTTACAGATGTAGCTAAGGTCAAAGGCTTTGGGACAGGATGATTATCTTGGACAATCTGAACTCTATTTAATCAGGAACCCTAAAAAGAGCAAAGAAACTTTCCCAGGTGAAGCCAAAGAAAGAAATCTCAAGACAGAAGCAGGGCCGAGAAGATGCAGCTGTTCTGAGTGTGAAGATGAAGGGGGCCACAAGCAAAGGAATGACGGTGGCTTTCAAAGCAGGAAAGGGCAAGAAGACGACTTCTTCCCTGGGGACCCCAGAAAACAATGCAGACTTCCAAACTCGGATTTCCAACCCAGTGATACCTATGTTGGGCCAAAAACAGAATAGATAAATACACTGCACTTGGACCGTGCAAAGAACAGATCTCCTTGCTTTTGCGTCCTTCCTGCTCTGTGCTCCTGTTCTCACCACTGGCCATCCTTAGCTTTTCTCTGCTCTTCCTAGTTCTCACACAAATTTTTTGATATGAATTATGTAACTGCTTCAGCCACATTTCATTTATTTTAATAAAGGATATAGTTGTTAAATTTAATTTATCTGTATCCGAATAAAAACTACTGAGCACCTGTCCCCAAAAGGATCTGTGCTAGTTCAAAGGGACACACTTTGAACTGTTAGAGTTCCTGCCTAGTGGGGAAGTCAGAAGAATAACAAAGGTGTGCCAGGAGGGCCAGAGCTGGGAAGGGCATGTGCTGCAAAGGAGCGGTGTCTCGGGACTCCTCTGTCAGAAGAGCAGCAAAGGGAAAGGGAGGTGCAGGAAAAAAAAGAAAACAGCCTCCCTCAAGTATGAATAGCACAAAGCTTACCCTGATAAATAAAATTTAAGAAAACTACTGGGTAAGATTTTTTAAAAAGTGCTTCTTATTTTTCTCTAAGTTATTTGAGACTATAAATAAAAAAGTCTCTTTCTGCTTAACTCTAATGCACAACTGACCTTATTTGAAGACAGCCCTCTAACAGAAGACATTAACAACATAAATTTGCAACTAAAAGGGAGATTTACAACTTATAATCAGGTTAAATCCTTGTTAAGGAAAAGAACATCAGGAAATAGAAAAATAAATCACATTTTCAGTAGCTTACTTAGTGTATTTGATACCTAGAGTAGATATTTTTTAAAAACTCTTCCTGTTTGACACAATTAGTTCCTATTACTAAGTAATAATAATCATTATTTTCTTGACATGCTCTTTAACTGTAAAGTAATTAATGATTTTCAAAGAAGGAATAAATTTTAGTTATTGTTCAAACTCAATGAAATATCTCATGTATGAACTAAATCTGTAATTACCTAACAAAAATATTACCATTTGCAATCCACGTGGTTTCATTATCATTTTAAACTCAAAAATTCCAAATGAACACATCAACTAACAAAATTGAAATCACTCAATTTCTACTTCTTTGTTTTAGAATCAGTATGTAATCACTGCTTATTTTGAATCTTCTCTATTCATAAAGAATACATCTATAAAAGTGTGTTAGAGGATACTCTCTAACATCTTCTAATTTGAATCATACATACTATTAAAACAACAATAATCACAGCAATTGTTTAGAACATAGACCAAAAAAATTTGTGAAAAACATTAGTTTACCACTGGAGTTTATAGTGAGTAGTGCATGAGAACAGTAAAAACGCAGACTGACTTTTAGTCAGGTTCCATAAATTTCTACTAAGGACAGTGAACATTCCTAATGATTGCACTCAAGACTGCGTGCTCTGCCACATCACAGTTTTTAACTCCATTTGGAGAAGCCATAAAAAGCACCACTATTTTACGTGATAGATGATTATTATTTACGGTATCGGCTCCAGGGACTGACAGCTGTGCACAGGCTTAAAAAAGGAGGGCCCCGTGCTTAGGTTTTAATGCTGTGCTGTCACAGTCCTGAAATTTCTTTGAATTTGTACAATCCAGGGGCTCAAGGATATATACATCTAGGCTCACATTCAGTCCTGCCTCTGAGGGACTTCCTGAACGAGGTCCTCATACACCTGTTCTTATACCCAGAACTCACTTCCCCCTCCCTTCCCCAGGGCAGGACTTGGCAAACTGCAGAGTGGGTCCGGACCACAGCGCAGGGCCAGGAAGCCCTTTGAGGGTCTGCCTCACTCCATCAGCACCCCTCATATTCTATGAAATCTAAAATTATGTAGCAAATAAAAATAATCTCACAGAGGTCAAGAGAAATGGAAGAAAGGGAGAGATCTTTTGCCCTTGCTGTTTGAATAAAAAGCCTGTCATTTTCATTTTCTACTCAGCTACACAAATTATGTAGCCATATCTCCTCACGCATTTGGGTAGGTGTGTACACCTGCATGTGCCTGTGCTTGTGTCTGTGAAAAATAAAATGACTTTTTATAAAGCCAATTCATTATAATTTATAGATAAGCTATATGTTTATACGATGTTACTATATTTCATCTATGAAGACAGAAGAAATTATCGTAGTACTCTCTGCATCAGAGGAGATGGCGTTCCAATGTAATTTTATCGCCTGAGGTTCTTGTGACAGACGAACTGTCTTGAAAAGTCTTCAAGAATATCTTATGTCAAAAATGGGAATAGTCTAGCTTCAGATATCCTAGCAGGACACAACATTATTATTATTATGTTCTTATTAATATAATTTGCTTTCCAACTTTGATTTCTTCACAGGCAAGAGATTGTTGGTCAGGAGCCAAAGTCATCAAATATTAAGAATAGGAAGACACATCAAATGTGTTGGAAGATCCTCAAAACTCATTAAGTAATTTAGCACATTTCAGTCATTCACATAAAGAACATCTGTCAAACAACTCCAAATCTTCAATTTCATAACTAAAAAGTCTTATACTTTTTGACTAATAATTCACAAAACATACCTTCATAAATCCTGAGTTATTCTCCTTAAAATAAAATAGATGGACTAAATAGTCCTAATATAACTCTATAGTTCTATTATTTAAGAAGGCTTCATGATTAATATGTAATAGCCCATCCTGCCTGTGAGGAATATGTTTCAAGATCCCCAGGGGTCACTTGAAAATGTACTACCAATCCAAGTTATGGAGAGATTTTTCCTATATATGCACACCTGTGATGAACTTTATAAATTAGGCACATTAAGAAATTAACAATAATAGCTAATAATATAGTAAAATAATTATTAAAAAGCACTGTAGTAAGTTACTTAAAATTTAAGAATCATTTTTGGAATTTTCCACTTAATGTTTCCAGACTATGGCTAAGTGCAAGTGAAAGACACCACGGGGAGCAAACCTGGGGATGGGGGGGCTACTGTACAGCTGCTGCTGTCCTCACCAGGTTCTTCTCTTTATTAAACCTAAGATTTGATGGGAGCAAGTTAGAGACCCTCAAAATGAAAATGTACTATTTTAAAGTCCTAATACTATTTGGGAGGTGGCGTGATATCACTTAAATCTAGATGTGGTAAGTTAAAGGTAAATAGTATAAACTCTAAAACAACCAGTGACAAACCAGTTACGACTAATTAGCGGGCAAAGGAGGTAAAATGGAATCATATAAAGGACTCTGTCCAAATGAAGACAAGAATGCAAATCTGGGTGGAACAAATAGAAAACAAATAACAAGATGATAGATTAAAACCTAACTGTATCAATAATCATCTTATATGTAAGTGGTTTACATACTTCAATTACAAATCTGAAAAAGTCAGATTAGAGAAATAGCAAGATTTGACTGTCAAGAATTGGGGAGGTGCTGGAGGATTAAACCCGAGGATGTTCTACCACTGAGCTATATCCTCAATCTGCTCTTTTTTTATTATTACTATTTTAAATTTTGAGGCAGGATCTCACTAAGTTCCCCAGGCTGGACCAGAACTTACAGTCTTCCTGCCTCAGCCTCCCTGAGTACTGGGATTACAGATATGCACCGTCACACCTAACATTCAATTGTGAAGATGTTTTTGTTGTCCCAACATGGCTAGGCTACAGTCCTTAGTTATTCAGTCAAACACAACCCTAAGTATTGCAATAAAGATGGTTTGCAAGTGTAAAAAAAAAAAAAAAAGTTAGAGACCCTCCACAGATGGAGACAGGCACACAGAAAATGAAATAGAAAGGACCTTGAAGCAAATATTTTTTTTTAAATTAAGACAGCATTTTCAGTATTTCTGAGCCACATCTAAAACTGCAAAAGTTATGACACTATGTCACTTTTGAAAAAGAGCCATGCAAATGGTCTGAGCTCTTTACACCTTCAGATATGGCTCACGATCTCTGCACATTGACTTTTACCTGATACCATCTAAATTCTAATTCTAATGCTCCTTTCTTACTATTCACCAGCTTAGCCCTGAGCAACCTGCCACATCTTTTTATTCAGCTAAATTAATGCGCAACCATGGTTTTCTTTTTCCAAACCTGACTCACTTCTTCAACTCATATTTAGATAATTCTACACACAAAACAATCTTGTGTAAATACTCCCCTGTTTCTAATTTCATTCCAAGAAACTCCTAGGCTTACTGTTCAATCTGAACAATCAAGAAGAGTCCCTTCAGAAAGGCATTCATGTAAAATCACATACTCGTGTGTGAGTGACCATACTGTGTAACAGAAAGCGTCATGTACACACTCAACGTGCAAGGGGAAAGTGGGCACAGGGGCCCCAGGACAAGCGAGTCACTTACGTTGCTCATGTACTCGGACAGCAAGTCCTGAAGAGCCTGGCGAATGGCGTTGCATTCCGCAATGATCCTCTCCCGGTGGAAGTCCCGAGTGCAGGAGGAGTCCGCCAGCAGAGCGGCCCCGCTGATGATGGCTTCCAGGCGCTTTTCCAGGGACGGTCTCATTTCCTCTTCAGTCACCGTGAGCGGGTTCAGGACAATTAAACTCTGTGAGAAGAGCACATGTAAAGGTTAGAGCCCGTGACATTCCAACTTTAGGAAATAGGTGATAATTTGATTTCATATTTTAGAATTCAGACACAATAATGATGACAACTATATTTTACTACTTCATCCAGTTCCTATACAAGGTTCTGTAGCAGTTATTATTCAGATGAGTGATGAGAGTGATGCGGTTATCAGCACTGGTGCTAGTGTCAGAAAGCCCTAGATTCAAATCTTGCCTCCCTGTCTCACCAGGCTGTTCTATGTGCCCTCAACCTCACCCTCCTGACCTGTAAAACTGAAATATTAGTGATGCTTCTGTCATAAAACTGTTATAAGAACAATATGAATGCTTAATACAGTGACTGGCATATACTAACTGTCACTTATAATAATATTGCCAGACCACGCTTACATAATATTTTCAAACAGATCTTCTCATCTTGACAACACTATGAAGCAGACAACAAAGATGAGCCACTATTTTAGCTGGTGATGGGTTGGCTGAGGGTTGGTCTTTCCCAAGAGCAAATGAACTGGTCTCATACTGTCTAATTCAATATTGTTTTCATTATGCATCACTATAAACAATAAGGTATAACATATCAAAGAAAACACTAGATTTTATTATTCATTTAAAAAGTAAAATTCTGTTTTCCTATTAATCTATAATAACTTTCAGCCATTGGAACTGGACATGGTATTTTTAAGGTTATATAAACAGATAAGTCTTTAGATAAAATAGTCAAGATAATTTATAGCCTCTGAAGAGTGAGAGTGTATGCTGCTCTAAAGGTCTTTTATGAAACTGCATCAAGAGAGAAAACCTTTCCAAGGTGATGCCTAATATAGTAAATGAAGAGTCAATATAAAACAAAAATTCTCTAAAGAACCCTTAATATAAAATGAAATCATATATTGATCTTCAAAATGTAGATCTTAGTGGAGTCTGCATAAACTCGCACACACACATTAAAAGACATTCACAATATATAAGCTTGTAAGGTTTTATATACACATATTAGGTAAAGGGATACACACATGTGAATACATATGTGTATGCATCTTACATTGATCCAAGTGCTACATTACTTGATGATAAGTATTTGGAATCAGAAGTGGTCAGAGTATAACTTTAAAATCTATAACTAAAGTGCCAAACTTAGGAAGGGAAAATAATCACAGAAAGGTAATTTTGATAATTAAGTTTAAAACAATTAGAAAAAAGAAATATGTGTATTATATAATAATTACATCTCATAAGATATAATATAAAATATAAATAAGACTGTAGATTAAATATAATATTAGTTAACTGTCTTAGAAACATTCAGGGGAATTCTTTTATGCCTCTATTTCCTTTTTGGATTTTTACTGCTTAGTCATTGCATTTTTTTCCTTTTACATAAAGATTTTTTAAAAAATCATAAAAGCAGTTTTACAAAAGCCAAATGTAACTTATTTTTCTTTGTCCACTGCATAATTTTTTGATGATACCACATTCCAACTATAAGCTTCATTGATCAAAGCTTTGCTTCTTCTTATTTTATTTGCCACTTTTCCATGTCTTTACTTGGCTCACTAATTTAGTGCAAACTTTCCATTCCAATGTTTCACAACAAAAATTAAACCAATTAAAATCTTTTGGAAATGACCCTCCAATGTAGTATCATCATTGAGAAGAGACTTTGAGAAGGCAATAAAATGACTATTTAACTGCTCAAATGAAATCAGATGTGATGGGAGTGGATAATATGTCTCTAGCATTTTAACCATAGGAAGAGTTCATCAAATTTCAAGTCTGTTCACCTATAAGTACTGCAAGAAAAAAATCTGGTAATTTTACGTGTTCTGGCTGTCACCTCCTGTGAGCAAAACAACCTGCACTGTGCAATTAAGATCACTCTGCTTTCTGTTCGATAGAACCATTCCAAAAGCCATCTGAACCTTTGAATTTTTACCTGCTTAACCTTTAAAAGTTCTTCACTAAAGAAGATTGAAGAGGATATCAGAAAATGGAAAGATATCCCTTGCTCATGGATAGGAAGAAGCAATATAATGAAAATGGCCTTACTTCCAAAATTGCCGTACAGATTCAGTGCAATCCTGATCAAAATACCATTAGTATACCTCACAGACCTAGAGAAAACATTCCAAAAATTCATTTGGAACCAGGAAAGACCTAGAATATCAAAGAAAATTCTGGTCAACAAAGGCAAGGCAGGGGGCATCACAATCCCTGAATTGAAATTGCATTACAAAGCTACTGTGATTAAATCAACACAGTACTGGAAAAAACAGACCTGAGGAGAACTAGAACACATTAGAAGATACAAACGCATTCAGCCACCTTATCTAAGGGGCCAATCATGTTCAGTGGAAGAAAGATAGCCTCTTTAATAAACGGTGCTGGAAAACTGGCTTTCCACATGCCAAAAACTAAAACTAGACCCACATTTATCACCATGCACTAAGCTAAAATCAAAATGGATCTAAATACTAAAATAGAAACACTAAGTCTACTGGAAGAGAAAGTAGGTAGAAATCTTGAAGGCATGGGGTAGGCAGAGAGTTCATGAACAAAACCAAAGCTTCATGGGAAATACTCAAAGAACCAACAACTGGGATCTCATCCTATTAAAAAGCTTTTGCACATGAAAAGAAATCATCAACAGAGTAAAAAGACAACACACAGAGTAGGAAAAAATTTTAGCCAACAGCTCCCTAGACAAAGGACTTATAGCTAGAACATATAAAGAACTGAAAAGAATCGGACCTTCCAAATTCGAAGACCCATTCTAAAAATGGCCTTCCAAAATGAATACACACTTTTCAGATGAAGAAATATGGACAGCAAATAAATACATGAAAAAATGTTCAACATCACTGGTCATTCAAGAGATGCAAATTAAAACAACAGTGAGATTCCCTCTCACCCCAGAAATAAAGGCTGTCATCAGGAAATCAACCTCTAAAAAATACTGGAGGGGCTGTAGGGAAAAAGGAACTCTTCTCTACTGTTGATGGGAGTATAGACAGGTGCATCCATTGTGGAAATTAGTGGTGAGATTCTTCAAAAAACTAGGATTAGAGGTCCCATTCAACCCAGCTCTTCCCCTTTTGGGTATTTTCCCAGAAGAATTAAAAACATCATGCCATAGTGACATGTGTGCACCCATGTTTATAGCAGCACAATTTGTCATAGCTAAGTCTTGAAAACAACCCAAATGCCCATCAACTGAGGAACAGATAAAAAGATTTGGTATTTTTATACAATGGAGTCATACTCAGATATAAAGGAGTATAAATTTGACACTATTATAGGTAAGTGGATGCAACTAGAGAGCATATTCATAAATGAAATAAATCAGACTCACATGTGTAACATCATATTGTCCCCCTAGTATAAGAAGATGAAAGAGTAAATAAAATCCAAAATGTACAATAGATATTGGGAAATGGGAAGAAACTGTTCAAAAGGAAAGAGAAACTGTGATGGGGGAAAGAGAAAAGATGGAAGGAAAAAGAAAAAGTAAATATATATATTATATAGGTAGATTGATAAAATTATATTATATATATTATAGTTAGGATAGCTATACTACTCATTTCTATTAATTCATTGAAAAGAAAGATTTGTGCTTATATCATTTGATGGATTTTTTATGTCTTTATCTTGTAATCTGAGCAACTACTTTGAAGATGACAACAAGCAAAGTACTAACCATTCTTACTCTCCTACTAGCTTGTCTTGAAATTTTGTACCATTGTTTTTATTGTTTTTCTCTTTAAGATAGAAAAGCTCTTCTTCAAACCCATCTGAGCTCAGACAATTTCTTGCTCTCACCTCACACACCCACACATGGACTTCTTGAATACACAGTCCTATTCACAACCTGGAAAGGTTTTCAGTAGTCTTGCTGAGATCAACAAAGAGGCATGACAGTTTTTAAAGTACTTTGAACATTTCTTAAATATTACTGAATTTTTCTGAGATGAAGTGAATAAATTACGTCTTCTAACCTACTATAATAAACACTCCTTCAGTCAATATGTTTTCATTGTGTCAATGCCATGATAGACAATGAACAGTGTATTTTATTTTCAATGTTCCACTCTGCTGACCATACAAAATATTTCACCTTTTCAAGGCTCTGCCAATATATACTTACCTCCCTAATACTTCTCTGACAGAACATTATTTTTGCAAAATGTGTGAATCTCAATTCCACATAATAATAATAAGTAGCTTTATTTTAGGAAGTAATAAAATTTAAGGATTAAGAGTCCAGGTCCTAAGAGCAGACAGCATAGGTTTGACTCTTCACTCATTAGCTATGGAAGTTTGTCCTTGCCCCTAAAATCCTTTTCTTTTTCATCTCTTACATTATCTCTTCTAACTTGTTTAGATAATGAATTTGATCCCTCATTTTTCTCCAAATTGAACACTAACTTGCACAAGGTAGCTCAGCTAGTTAAGTAACATAGGCAAAATTCTGCCCAAATCTACCTCCAATTCCATGCTGTAACTATAATGCAATGCTTCTTTTATTGTCTGATGTACTCATTACCAAAAACCTTGTGAGATATTATTGCCTTTTGTGTATAAATGTAGAAACAGGGTAAGAAAGATTAAGTTAGCTGTCAAATGATTGTGTTAAAAGAGAAGATTAAGGCTACTAATCCAATATTATTGAACCCCAAATCCAAACATATTCTACTACTCTCAGGAAATGGAGATAAGGACACTTGGAAAACCTCAAAATCTACCTCTACCTCAATCTGTTTTACACTCCACTTTTTGTGCCCACTTGCCTTCAAGGAAAAGAATCAAAATCTCTCTCTATCTCTCTCTGTCTCTCTCTCTGTCTCTCTCCCCCTCTCTCCCTCTCTCCCCATCTCTCCTCTCTCTTCCTTTACCTTTCATTCCATGGCTTTCTTCTCCTGGGCTTGATCTCAAAACAAATTCTTTTGCAATTATTTCTTGATTATATTTGCAGTCC